ACCCCCTTAACAATGGCGTCGCTAAACTAAAATAACAGCAACCTCCGCCCATCCTATAAGGTACCTTAACAACAATGGAGCTCTGTCCTGTACCCCGCCCCAGTCATTTGTGACAATATATATATATATATATATATATACATACATACATATTATGTAAATTTAATTTATACGTATTTAATTTGTTTGGTTGTTGTACTGATGAAGGCATGTGCCGAAACTTTTACTTGTGTATTATGCAAACTTATTATTAAAGCTCAAAATATATTGTGATATTGACACAAATTGTTCGTGTCTAATTAATCTATTTTAAAGTTTTCTCTTGCAGTGCACAACTTTTGATAATTAGTTAATTTGGTCTAATGAGCGCGTCCCCAGCAACGTGAAGAGTTTGGAAAGCTCTCATTGAGAGTATGGCGTCACCTGGCGACCAACATTAACCGTCATAGCATCCGGGCATTCCTACTCACGTGTCTGGGGTGTGTCCAGCCCCTGGTTGGTTTTGGATTAGCGACTCCGGCTCCGGCAGTGGTAGGGCTTAACATGGCCTCTGTAGGAAAGAAACGTGCAGATATGACGTTATAAACATGGCCTCTGTAAAAAAGAAACGTGCAGATATGACGTTATTAACATGGCCTCTGTAGAAAAGAAACGTGCAGATATGACGTTATTAACATGGCCTCTGTAGAAAAGAAACGTGCAGATATGACGTTATTAACATGGCCTCTGTAGAAAAGAAACGTGCAGATATGACGTTATAATGTGCGAATCTTTGCTCACTGCTCTGATGGCATTTGGTCAATGTATGATGGAATCTGGACAAGATATGGTGGAAGCTGGACACGTTATGATGGAAGCTGGACAAGGCATAATGGAAGCTGGATAAGGTATGGTGGAAGCTGGTCAAGGTATGATGGAAGCTGGACAAGGTATGATGGAAGCTGGTCAAGGAATGATGGAAGCTGGAAAGGTATGATGGAAGCTGGAGAGGTATGATGGAAGCTGGTCAATGTATGATGGAAGCTGGACAAGGTATGATGGAAGCTTGTTACGCACTAGCTTCTAATGTGAGAAATTAATCTCTTGTTTTAAGTTATGGCTCGTTCAAACAGTGCACAACAAAGGACAATACAATAGAGAAATTCAATAGAGAAATACAATAGCAAAAATACGACACCCAAAACAGTTGCTAATTACAATTAATAAGATTTATTTTATTTAAGTATTAATATAATTAAAAAACAAAAGAAATATAATTACAAAGCATCAACTTACAGAGTTTGGTAGATCTTGTACCGGTACACAGTTAGTACAATGTGCCAATTAATAATGTACAATGACGAATTCGAATAAACACATATTAGTACACAAAGAATAATACACGTCTCGAAGTTTAAAATATCTATCAATCAATCTGAATCTCAGTGAATCTCTGAAACCCCTTATTTATATGGTGGGTCTACCGACGCGTCCAGAAAAGCCTTTGACATTGTTTTCGTTTCTCGTCAAATCGAGAACGTTCCATAAGATACTAAGAGACAAACTAACCATGTTTAATTGGTAGTCGGCAGTAAACATGACAGATCAAACGAACTAGCCCAGCCCGTCTGCTAGGAATCTATTTTGGGGTCAAGCAGAGTTCACGGCACGGGAAAAGTGTCCTACATAACAAGCTGAACAATGTATGATGCAAGGGGGACAAAGTATGATGGAAGGGGGACAAAGTATGATGGAAGGGGGACAAAGTATAATGCAAGGGGACCAAGTATGATGGAAGGGGGACAAAGTATGATGCAAGGGGGACAAAGTATGATGGAAGGGGGACAAAGTATGATGGAAGGGGGACAAAGTATGATGGAAGGGGGACAAAGTATGATGGAAGGGGGACAAAGTATGATGGAAGGGGGACAAAGTATGATGGAAGGGGGACAAAGTATGATGCAAGGGGGACAAAGTATGATGCAAGGGGGACAAAGTATGATGCAAGGGAGACAAAGTAGGATGCAAGGGGGACAAAGTATGATGGAAGGGGGCCTAAGTATGATGGAAGGTGGACAAAGTATGATGGAAGGGGGACAAAGTATGATGCAAGGGGGACAAAGTATGATGGAAGATGGAAAGATATGATGGAAGCTGGAAAAAGTTATGAAGGAAGCTGGACAAGGTATGATGGAAGCTGCAAAATGTATAATGGAAGCTGCAAAATGCATGATGGAAGCTGGAAAAGGTGTGAGGCAAGCTGGTCAAGGTATTTTGGAAGCTGAACAAGGTATGAAGGACGCTGGACAAGGTATTTTGGAAGATGGACAAGGTGTAATAGATGCTTGGCCAATGTATGATGGAAGCTGGGTAATGTATGATGGAAGCTGGACAAAGTAAGATTGAGGCTGGACAAGGTATAATAGAAGGTGGACACGGTATTTTGGAAGCTAATCATATCCAAGTATTACTGCGGGGGTGGGGCGTTAATCGCTAACATTTTTAGCATTAAAATTTACATCGTTGTAAGCTGTCGGAAACAAGTTCGTCTTTTAATCTTTTGACATATCAATACTTACATTATGGTGAGCTGTCGGAAACAAAGTCGTCTTTTCAATCCTCTGATATATCAATACTTACATTATGGTGAGCTGTCGGAAACAAATTCGTCTTTTCAATTATCTGACATATCAATACTTACATTATGGTGAGCTGTCGGAAACAAATTCGTCTTTTCTTCAATATCTAACATGCGCAACCCTGTAACCATGTGCAGTTTAGTTGTAATCCTCTCTTGATCCAGCGTAGCTAAGATCTTAAAAATGCGTCCGATACAAGTGCAAAACTGTTTGGTAGTTTTGTAGTGGTGCTGCGTGCTCATTTCGACCAGTGTGCAAATTATTGAAGAGAGTTCAAACGCCAATTATTTCATGGGTATAAAGTGTTTGTATGTTCTATGAAATTAAACAAACTGTTTTTGGATTTTTGATGATACATTTATCGATGTGGCACATACAATCTTCTTTTTTATTTTGATTTTTTTGGTGGTTTATGGTAAGTAGCGTTCTGTACATATTTTTAGAAGAGCAGGAAATGTATGCATTAATAAAGAGAAATGATTAAACAGTCGCGTTGTTTAAAATTAATTCAAACACAAATGGACGATGTCCGTTGCTTTTTATTAAAGTGGGATGTGAATTATCTCCCTCTATCACACTGACAATGTCATCTCCCTCTATCACACTGACAATGTCATCTCCCTCTATCACACTGCCAATGTCATCTCCCTCTATCCTTCAACCAATGTCATCTCCCTATGTCACACTGTCAAATACTGCCAATGACATCTCATTCTATCACACTGACAGTGTCATCTCCCTCTATCACATTGCCAATGTCATCTCCTTCTATCACACTGCCAATGTCATCTCCTTCTATCACACTGCCAATGTCATCTCCTTCTATCACACTGCCAATGTCACCTCCCTCTATCACACTCCCAATGTCATCTCCTTCTATCACACTCCCAATGTCATCTCCTTCTATCACACTGCCAATGCCATCTCCTTCTATTACACTGCCAATGTCATCTCCCTCTATCACACTCCCAATGTCATCTCCCTCTCTCACACTGCCAATGCCATCTCCCTCTATCACACTCCCAATGTCATCTCCCTCTATCACACAGCCAATATTTTTTTAAATCTTTTTCCACAGAGGCTCTGCTCATCAATCGTGTATTTGCCACATTTCACCGTACTCCTGTCATTAAGGGCGGTTATGCTGATAGAGCAGCAATATTCTTTATAACAAGTTTAATACAGAACAACATGAGGCTACACGCTACCCTCGCTGATAGAGCAGCAATATTCTTTATAACAAGTTTAATACAGAACAACATGAGGCTACACGCTACCCTTGCTGATAGAGCAGCAATATTCTTTATAACAAGTTTAATACAGAACAACATGAGGCTACACGCTACCCTTGCTGATAGAGCAGCAATACTCTTTATAACAAGTTTAATACAGAACAACATGAGGCTACACGCTACCCTTGCTGATAGAGCAGCAATATTCTTTATAACAAGTTGTTGTACAGAGCGAAATGAGTCTGAACGCTCCCCTTGCTGATAGAACATCCTTCAGAAACGAAAGATGCCTTCCACTGTCCACACTCCTTTGCAGGAAGTTCATGAGAGCTTGCGCATCTCCTTGTGGTACATATTAGAAGCTAACCACTGGCTGTTCCCCCCCCCCTTAAAAGTTACGCCCCTCTTGCCACATAATTGTACTAGTTTGGTTAGAGTTAAAAATTGTTTGATGTTCAATCCAAGGACAAAGAAGATGATTTCCGGCCACGCCTTCTACAACAACAACTTTGTAGTTGCCTGAAAATGCCGCACCTGAATATATATCTAAGAAAGTGCCTTCTGGGTGTCGGGGGGGGGGGGGGTTATATGTGACTGATACAGTCACTGAAACATATGATTCTCAGTCACGGGACCAAATGATACTCAGTCCCTCTACCATATGATAGTACCTGTACCATATGAGGGGGGGGGGGGGGGGGGGGGTTATATGTGACTGATACAGTCACTGAAACATATGATTCTCAGTCACTGGACCATATGATACTCAGTCACTCTACCATATGATAGTCACTGGACCATATGATACTCAGTCACTGGACCATATGATACTCAGTCACTGGACCATATGATACTCAGTCACTGGGCCATATGATACTCAGTCACTGGGCCATATGATACTCAGTCACTGGGCCATATGATACTCAGTCACTGGACCATATAATTCTCATACAGTCACGTGTAGAACTAAGAATGAGGGAGAGAAATACCTCGGCAATATTAGGAACCATTTCATAAGTTTCTGCAATTAGCAAGTATATTTGTATTGTCACTATATGACTATGGAATTGATTTCTATATACTGTATATACCAAGTCTAAAATAAATGAATAGAAATATGACAGAGGGCAAAAACAACAACTATTGCACAATGTTAAACATGAACAACTTTTTTATTTGCTTTTAAAACATGAAATATTAAACGACAAATTATTACTTCTAAAATAACTTAAAATAATGAAAGGAAAAATAGTGATGAAAAAAAAATCAACAATGAACACCCCCTTTCATATTTTAGTTTCTATTAATTCTTTCATGAATTTAGTGCCGGACCAAATTGGTTGACATGATTTCTTTGATATTATGCTTAAAATCTAGTGGTCTCTTTTTTTTCTTCTTAATCTGTATCTTGTCATTGTATAATGTGTCCGTTTAAGTTTAACTTCATTCTATAATGTATTTTAACTGTTAGTTGACACAACCACATTTATATATATTTGCATTCAAAATTTCACCTATATTTCTAAAGAAAGAAATCTTGGGATGGATTTCTTAACACAATGGTTTTCCCCGCGATATTTTCTTCTTGGTGTGTTTTCACTTTTGTCATGTTTTGGTCGTTCAGCTCAGGAAAAATCGGGGCGACAGAAGAATACATGCAGCTGAAACAAAGAGCGATCGGAGACTTGTGAATGGTTGCTATAGTAACTAAAATGTGATTGCCAGTTGCTCGTTCACACAGCTGACATATTTGTTTAGTTTACAGTAATCTATTTATGGCCTGGTTTATTAGTGTTTAATCACGTGTGCATCTTTTTCATTGATAATCGTGGGAAATCATTTCTTTTCCCTAATAATTTGCCTTTTTGCAGTGCTTTTTATCTTTCATCGTACAGTTACAAGGAAATCCTATAATAATAATTGCTATATAGATCTACATGGGACTGGCGATAAATCACATATTACAACAGGATCAGAGAGCATTGGCCAATATATCAAGTTTCCCTAGCTATTGTGAAATTTAACCTATAATTTATATTTGTTCCTGATAAATGTTTTTTTTAAAAAGAAACACAATACATACACACATAGAAACTCCCATAGCACACGTAGGGTGTAGCTACACTAAATACACACACATAAACTCCCATAGTTCCCATAGTGTGTAACTATGATACATATTGCGTTATTTACCTCATCAATGATTCCTGTAAAGTCACCACATTCCCCACCTCCTCCGATGATTAAACCTCTTTGACGTCTCAGAAGAGAACCTAGAAAAGATTAAAAGTGTGTTTAGATAAGTAAAAAGAATTCACATTTGACGCTACAATACGGTGACAAGACTTTTGTTTGATCCAGCAGTGTTACCAATCCGGAATTATTATTTTATTAGCACACACAATGAAAATATGATTTAACAATCCTTAACTCCAGAGTTTCATATTATGAATGTGTGGTTTAGGGCAGAGGCGTAGCTAAGGGGGAGCAGGGGGCATATGTCCCTGGGTGTTAGACGAGTTAGGGGCCCCGAAATGTGCTTTCATATAATTTATTGATAACAATAATCGATTTGAGAGTTGAAAAAAAGAAAGGGAGGCTGTTTAAAAATGAAACGTGTCCCCGGGCGCTGAACACTCTAGCTACGCCTCTGGTTTAGGGTAAAAGTGAGCTATAGTACAGCTTTTCTTAACTTGTAATAAGGCAGAGAGATCAACTTATACATCTCGAATCAAAGGATCAGATTTAAAGGGAGCTCATAAGAACTGCTTCACGGGATGAAACAGATGACCTACCTTTAATTTCCTGAGTGTGGGTTCTTGTCCCGACATACCCTTGGAGATGACCTTTGTCCAGGGCGTACATAGCGTACTGCCACGAGTTGGTCTGTAGTATAAAATGAAAACAATTTCTAAGAATTTATTACATTTAATCTTTTATAAGCATTCACGTTACATTTCACTCTAGCCTCGGCACCACAGCTCTTGATGTAGACCCTTCTCACACGTAACAACACGCAGCATTGGCATCTTCACCCGGTACAAGATACAACATTGAGATAATGACAAGAGTCATATGGTTTTACAGGCTTTCTATGTGACAGGCTGTCTATGTCACGGACTCTCTATGACGCATACTGTCTATGCCACAGGCTGTCTATGACACAGGCTGTCTACGTCTCTTGTAGAAACAAAATAGAGCCAAAAAACTATTCACTATGTCATACACTGAATTTAATGTCTATTTATAAACACCAACAAATTCTTACACCTACAAATTCTTAGACTAACTTAAAAACTGTCAACCCACCATTTTTGGCACGGTCACTTTGACTTGTTTAACTTCCGTTTCAGCGAAGAAGTCCACTGCTTCCATATCTGTGCATACACCGATAGACTGTAGAATGCCACAATCTCCATTTGTCAGGAGGGTCTGCTTTGTGTTGCCACTTTGGGAGTACTTGACAGTGACGTAAACTGGGACATGAATAAAAAATACAATACATTTATTTACAGCTTAAAATAATTTTAATTATTGCATCTCGTTATTTGGCAGTTTCAAGGATTGTTGCACAGTTAATTGTAAGGGAAATGGGTAATGGCACTTTAGGAAAAAAATATCTCCAGTCGGATAATGCATCAAATTATTAAGATCAATTTATTATAAGATCGATTTATGGTTAACTATCATTAGTTTGAACTAAATGATGTGCTTTATGTAAAATAGCTATGTCACTCTATCTGCTTCACAGATTTGTAGAGTCCAAGTCTGTAACGGACTATGTTTTCACATGTAAACAGAGAGGTAGCATGAATGGACAGTGAGTGTGTTCACCAGGTTTTTCCACGGGGAGAGACAATCAATGTGGATTGTATTTTTGAGAACAAATGTGAACTCCACGTTTTTGGAGAGTAAAATTATGTTTTGTCAGAGCGGTTGTTTTGCACGCTTTGCTGGTAATGAAGTATGAGTTGACTGAGATAAGGAGAGCTGAGCGCAGAGCAGTAGAGTCAGTCAGTAGCGTGAGAGCTGTGAGATTAGACAGTCAGTTGAGCTGAGTTATAGTAGTCTGAGGACGTGTCTTTCTTAATGATGGAATACTATAGATATATATGTGAAATTACATTCATGCAAGGATTATTTATTAATATTATCAATATAAAGTGTGTTCAATAAAGTACTGTGAGTTTTAACTAGAATTGAGTATTCTTCTTTACGTGCCTGAATAATAAGTGAAAGAATGAAGAAGACTGAGTCGGCATCCTGAAGTGTTAATATAAGTAACCATACTACTGACATAACCCACAGCATAAGAAATAACCATCCCACGCCATGTCAGAGTAGAAGTGTGTTACAAAGTCAAATACAGCATTTTGTCATACACGCAAGATTTTAGCATCGGACCTTTATAACAATGCAATCAGAGTATTATTGTGTAAACAAATATTTATAGTTGCATCATTTTCACAATGTCCAACTTTTTGCTGAATTATCGTTTAGAATTATTTTAATTCATGTTAATGATTCATAATTAAATATTTTTATTTTTAAAAAAAATCATACTTCGGCACTAGAATTTAATTCGTAAGTCACTTATAAATATATGATGACAAACTTTTTTACGACAAACTTATTAAAAAAAAAAAATGGATCCTCAAAGAACGCAACTCTAATATCGAGTCAAGGATCAGAATGATCTAAAGGCATTACAAAGATAAGAACCTTTGTTTCCAAACTCCATGTTAGAGAATCCTGGCACAGTGAGCCTAGAGTTGCCATCAAAATAAGCTTGGCCGTTCTTGAAGGTGACGCCGGTGTTGTTGATCCAGAATTGGTTCTCTGACAAGTCAGTGGCGGTGTTGTCATCAAAACTCAGACTCAGGGAAGGTTTGCAGAAACCATCATCATCTTTATCAATACTGTCACTTTCGTCATCTTCAATCTCTGAAAAAATTACATTTCATGTTTTTATTTATTAAACTTATAAATATTTATATTCTAGGTAAAACCCAATTTATACATGATGCTACTGGTACACCTATGAGCCTATGATTATCTTATTGTGATGAATGCACACGTCATGAAGGGGGCAAGTCCTGCATTAACTCAGAGGAATGGCGCTCCTGGCTCCTGTACTTTGAAAATAATAATTGTGGCACTGTTTCTCTTAAGAAATAAATACACATTCATTTCGGGGAAAAAAAAAGGGGGGGGGGGGATCTCGGATGAATCTCCATACTGTTTTTCCACAGGCATGTCCCCTCTGAATAAACTAGAGCTCATGGATATAAATCTGACTTGACCAGCTAATCTTATCATTGTTTTAATCTGACCTGACCATCTAATCTTATCATCTTTTTAATCTGACTTGACCAGAAAATCTCATCATTGTTTTAATCTTCTCCCCGGTATTTATTAAAACTTTTTTTAATGCTCAAAACTTAATTCCTAACGTTATTACTGACGTCATCACCGTGCACTTACCGTTCATATAAGTGCACCTGCAGGTGCGTGGGTCGTAGCCGAGTGTAGCGGGACAGGGCATTCTGATCCAACTGACACCGTTGAATTGAAGGAAGCCAGTCTTGTCACCAGCGAGGGGTTTAAGGTCAGGGCAGTGATTGACTACAAAGAAACGTTTAAAAAGTATAACTTAATGACCACTGGTGTGATTTTATAGTCTGGAATTTTTCGATAAACTTATGGATAACAGAAGTTAAACTATTTCATCGTCATAGGTCAATGAACTTCTTACAGTTAAAATTCGTCTGATAATGTTCACATGTCTAAAAATGGCGGCACTATTTATTTGTTCAAATCCAAGTTGAACTTTCTCAACAATTTCTATCTGAAAGGCTATACACACAGTCCAAAAACACTGACTTGATGAAACTAAAATTTAAAGCTGAAAAAACAACCCTACTGACCACCTATTAAAAACAACCCTACTGACCACCTATAAAAAACAACCCTACTGACCACCTATAAAAAACAACCCTACTGACCACCTATTAAAAACAACCCTACTGACCACCTATAAAAAACAACCCTACTGACCACCTACTAATTCTAATCCTTACCATATTCCACAACATCCAGCTTGTCAGTGCATCTGCAAGTATTAGCGTCATAGCCGAGGGACTTGGGGCAAGGCATACGGACCCACCCACTAGGAGCCAACTGCAAGAATCCAGTCCTGTCGTTGGGAATGGCTTTCTTGTCATTGCACGTTTCAACTGCAAGAGAATAGGATTTGAAATCAAGTTGTGAAACGTGTCCTTACGTTCAACACAGCCCTGATCATCATTGACTGAAAGAAAAGTATCCTCGCAAATTTGAATGAAACTAAATCTAATTAAATGATTGCGTCACAACTGTACACTCTAGCTGTTGACTGCCATGTTTGTACACTCTATCTATGGACCGTCGTGATTGTGTATGCCAGGGGTGGGTAAACTACGGCCCAGCAACTGATATTATGCGGCCCTCGAAGGCATCTAGAAATTTTTAAAAATTACTTTGTTCTTAAATTATTTTGTTGAATTTTACAGAATTTCATGTACGGTTATAATAGTTTGAACATTTTTTAAATCAAATTTCTTTCTAATTTTCTATTTTGTCATGTAATGCTAAAATGCGAATTTGCCGATTTTAATATAGAGAAATGATTATCGACTTGTAATTATTGGACATAATATACTTGCGGCCCCCAAAAAGCTTTACATTCATCAATGTGGCCCTCTGCACAAAAAGTTTGCCAACACCTGGTATATTTTAGTCCGAAAGTCCATAAAGTTATCACTGAAAATGAACCAACCATAACTGGTCTACCACTTACAGTTTCCGTGTCCTTGATAGGTTTCGGTGCATCCACAAGTGACGTCACTGTAGGTGTAGTCAGAAGGACAGCTCACACGACTCCAGGTATAACCATTGAAGGCGAGGTAACCTCTCCTGTCTCCTTCGATAGACTTTTGGTTCAGACACTTACTCACTGAAGAAAATAATGGCACATCATCTTTAAGTACATTGTTTTTAATAACATAGAACATAACGGACAGTAAAAAATACTTATTTATATGGAACCAAAGACGAGGCTTTTAGAACGTGCTCATTGAATGGCATCAGTCGGTCACCAAGACACGGGGGTGTACTCTCAATGTTAATTTCACTTAAAATGTATCTGTCGTAATGACGAAGGCGTGTGGTAGCTGTTTTTATTTATTATCAACTGTTTCCCAGCCAGCAGATGAGCCCAAACGAAATTTTAAACATCGATACAGCCTGGCACCAAGTGCGCCACAGGAGTAGAGTACAGTGTAATCCCCCCACCCCCCTTGCGGGATGCCATCTCCGGATTTTTATGTTTTTGGCGTGTCCTCCTGTAGCCTTTAACCCACAAGGCAGTGGTCCAGTATAGGGTCAGAGTTTTCCTACTCTTGGCTGCCAACTTCCGAGGAAGACACGACTTATCTACCCATGGTCACCATTCCGACACAGCAGCCACCTGGCCCCAATCACATCCTCCTGGATGTGTCTTATTTTGTCTTATGTTATTGCTGGGGGTTGAATGCGCCAGACCGCGAGTAAGTTTGTCATCTCAGTGTGTCGTCACACCTTACCCCACCCGCTCCATCCCTAAATAATGATTAACATCTATCTGTAGATTGTGTTACAGACCCGCTGCTAATTAAGTTTACAATTTAACAATAGAGTAAAAACATTCTGTTTCAGTTAAAAATAAAGCTCCTACATCCATCGCTTGCACAAGATATTACACAACAGCTTACACAACAGCTTACATAGTTTCCTACCTGAAACACACTTGACATTCTCCTCCTTGTCGCAAGTCAGTTTGTTTTGATTCCACTGGAGTCCATAAGGGCATCGTCTAATGCTGACTGCTGTGGGTATGTCACCATAATACCTGCACTGGATGTAGGCGTCGCAGTGGCCAGCTACTGCAGCATATCCGACACCGTGAAGGATGACGCAATCCTTGCACAGATCTAGAGAGTAGAGTAAGAGAGCCGTAAACATGTGCGCACCCTTTAAAGTAGTTGTCATTTATCTCACAATATCCACCACCTTTGACCAGCAGGTTTGAAAGAGATACGTATCAACTCTTAAATGTAGCTGTTGTGGAGCTTGGGAAAAGAAACGCTTGCTTTAATGTAAATCCAGGATTAAGTCGCATAACCAAATCACTAAAAGCACAAACTGGCCGACCTACCAAAGTTTGGTTTCGGGGTACTGGTCTTCCTCGTGGTAGTTGTTGTTGGCGTTGTGGTCGTCGTCGTTGGGGTGGTGGTTGTGGTGGTTATTGGGGTGGTTGTAGTTCTTCGGGTGGTTGTGGTAGTGGGTGTGGTGGTGGTAGAGGTGATTATTCTTTTGGTGGTGGTGGAACTCTTGTGGGCTGGAGATTCAAACAAAAAGAAGATGGTTAAACGTAAAGAAATTATTTGAACACACAAGCCAATGGATTTCCTCCCTTGGTTTGAAGCTCATCATTTGAAATGGCAATAGAAATATAAAAATCTATCGTCATTGCCAGATTTCATTATTGAATTATGCTTGGTTCACACCGTCAAAAATAATTTTCGTCAAATTTCTTTTTGAACGCACTCTGTAGTAAAACAAAATAGTGCGTTCAAAAAATAAATTTGACAAAAATTCGACGCGAATTTGATCGTGCTGAGCATAACAGTAGGAAGCGATATGAATTAATTTTAAAGAAATAATTGTACTTTAAAAAAAAAAAGAACATTTTTCATGGATTTAGCAGGACAGTTCAAGATATTTTACCAATAATAAAAAAAAAATCTACATATTATAACAATCAGTCCAAATAAAAGTTGGAAATGTAAAGATACTTACGAGTGACCAGAATGCTACAGGCACATGTGACATGATCGAATCCAAGACCACTGGGACATGGCATCTTCAACCAACTGGAACCGTCGTATTGCAGGTAAAAACGTGTGTCAGCTGTGTATGGCTTAAATCCCTTACAGAAGTCTGTCAACAGAAGTCAAATATGGAGTTTTTAAACCTCAAGGAAAAGAGAGCTTCTTAACAAACACATCCACAGTCACACACACACACACCCGGTATGCACTTAGTAATCTAGACACCTAATTCCTTTTATATCTGAAAGACCAATGTTTTTTGGCACATGAATAGTATAACACATTTAATGCTAGCAATACCTGGTGTTATGTTTATTGTATCAAGGACATTGACTTGATGCATACACGATAGATACTAGTCATCGATCATTTACATCTCAATGGATCTTTTCAACAACTATTGATCGTTTAATGCTCATCAAAACTTTATGGAGCAACATCGCTTGTGGAATGGAAGTTCCGCAGTGGGGAGACAAAACATGACTCTCCTTTAGCGTTTGGGTGGGGGGGGGGGAGGAGGAGAAAAACGTTGACAATATATGGAGCTTGGTTTGTAGCAGGGATATGAAAGTCGCGTGGCTGTAGATAGAGTCCCTTAATACTCTAGCCATTCTAGATGCAAAGAATCCATTATCCATTAACTTTTACCGCCAGGAAATTCTTTCATGGCAAAAGTTCCGCAGTGGGGAGACAAAACATGACTCTCCTTTAGCGTTTGGGTGGGGGGGGGGGAGGAGGAGAAAAACGTTGACAATATATGGAGCTTGGTTTGTAGCAGTGATATGAAAGTCGCGTGGCTGTAGATAGAGTCCCTTAATACTCTAGCCATTCTAGATGCAAAGAATCCATTATCCATTAACTTTTACCGCGAGGAAATTCTTTCATGGCAAAGACTCAAAAGTAATTTTTTAATACTAGCTGGGGCATCGCAACAACGTTGCGTGCGTAAAATACGGTAAGAGTTCCATAATCTATAATAATAATTCCTGATGGCACTCCGTATATCCACCAAAGATTAGTTGTAGTTTGCTCTTTTGTGTGCATTTGGTGCGTACGTGATCAGGCGCACGACTGGGGAAGCAGCGAATGAGAGCGCATCAATGTGCGCAATGAGAGCGGGGCGGACAAGAAAGATCCAGTCGGGAATTATTATTATAAATAACTTGAATACGAAAGAATATAAAAGTAAAATTTGAACATTCAAACCTACTTGAAAATAACTGAAAGCGAAAAAGAAACAAGAAAAAAAAAACAACAAGAAAAAACAAACAAACAAACAAACAACTGAATAAACTATAAACAAACCTTTGTCTTCTTCACTGCTGCTGTCCTCATCTTTCTTGGGTGTTGTCTCCTTGTGCTGCACTGCTTTGTATGTGCTAGTTGGTATTTTGTTGGCTGCAGTGGTTTGTTGTTTCGATTCTTCTTCTGATGATGATGATGAGTCTTGCTCGTGACTATCGTCTTCTTGAGATTCGTCGGAATCGTCTTGAGTGATTTGCTTTGTGTATGTCTTTTGTTCTTCTTGGGATTCTTCTGAATCTTTTTGATTGGTTTGCGACGTAGTAGTTTGCTGTCCGTAGGTCACGGTCTTTTGTTCTTCTTGCTCTTCGCTGCTGAGTCCTTGCACATTATGCTGACCGAAATATTCTTCAATTTCTTCTTGCTGCTCTTCGTTAAGCTCACCGAATGTCAAACCGTGGAAAAGTCTGCAAAGAGTTAAAAATTGAATTTCATGAGGAAATGCTGCAGTAGGTTATGAAATACTTGGAGAGTTTTAAAAAGCGAAGCAGATAAAACATGGCGTTCCAACTAAATACCCCCCCCCCACACACACACACAGCTGGATTATTAAAACTTTCAAATTTTGTTTAACTTTGCGCAGTGCTTCTCAGAATTTACTATTTATCACAAAAATCTATTATCGTTTTATTTTAAAATAAAATCTCAGAAAGAAAAGAAAATCAAATATAATTTCAGCTTTGCCAGCTCTATAGAGAAGCAGATCTCCTACTCAAGTCTCAAGTTGAAGTAGAACAGTACATTTTAAATCTGTCTTCGTGTACACCGAAATTTGTGTTTGCCAAATTAAACACACAAAAAAAAACAACACTACTTCCTCCCATATTCTTGTCATTGACATATTACAGATTTGGTAGCGACCGACTTATTGTGTTCTGTAAAATAGAAATGAATAATTTAAAAATTAAGCATTATTTTTGTAGGACGGGGGTTCTTAACCTAAGGTTCAAGAACCCCCACCCCATTTTCCAAGTGTGCGATTGAGGGACCTAGCTACTGGAGAAATGATGCCAAACTAATTTTAATTACTGTTCATTTTTTCAAACATTGAACAAAAGGGACAGTAGATAATGCTGAAATAGGGAACAAGAGATTGTGTGTGGGGGGCGGGGGGATATATTTTGAAATCAAGACGGGATGCGGGGCTGCAAAAGTTAAGGACCACTGTTGAAGAGGAATACGCAAGGCAACAAATGATCTGATAAGGTACAAACGGTATGTCGTACCTAGCTCGTTAAATCAAAATTATTTGTTATTTTTTAATGCTTTGTTATTGTTGTTGTTGTTGTTGTTGTTGTTGTTGTCAGCATTCGTTTACAAGAAAGTGAATGTTCTTCGAAGTACCCTAAAATATGAATGAGACGTTCAAATATTGTTTGAAAGCAATGTGTACCGTAATGTCTTCTTGTGTGTTTGTTGTTTTTTGTATTCTGTGCAAGAAAGATTGACGGCATGTGTGAAATGATGACGAACTCACCGTTTGATGTAATCCAATGTGTGCTGGGAAACTGCTTGTCTCTGCTGAAGTCCCTGGGGTCGGTAGTCGTGAAGCAGGGTCTCTATCCAGGGGTCGGTCGGGGTCGCGTCATCATCGGCGAAAGAACGGGCGACATTGGCGAGCAGTAAGCTCGCGGCGAAAAGGGTGGCGAAAAGATTCATTTGTCTAGGCGTAGTGCTTGGCTTAGACATGATGTCGTAGGTTTGCTTAGTTGCTCTTTTATTAAATACTTTTCTGGATTGCCAGTGAAAAGGTATTGGTTGAAATGGCTAGCGTCAAGTCTTTGTAAATCTTCAAATAGTTCGCAATTGATATTCGATAAAATCTGGATGAAATGTTAATTTTCTTTTTACGTTGGCTCAACTTTAAAATTTGTTGTTTTGTTTTTAAACGTTAATAAATGCTAAAAAAAATTATTTTCTTCTGATGAACCAAACGTTGGATGGACTTGCCCTCTGGCAGTTTCTTAAGTTCTTACCTTTACAAATGCCGTGAGATCTGCTTTTATACAGAACGTGTTGCGCTGTCAGCCCCCACACACTCCCCCCCCCCTTCATGGTCTCCTATAGCTATAAATTTAGTGGTTATTTTGGATGCGGATATTACCCCCCCCCCTTTAATTCGTGTGTGCCCGTAAAGGTATTCACGCTTGAAAGAGACTTAATGACGTCATGTGGACAACGTGGNGTTATTTTGGATGCGGATATTACCCCCCCCCTTTAATTCGTGTGTGCCCGTAAAGGTATTCACGCTTGAAAGAGACTTAATGACGTCATGTGGACAACGTGGCCCCGTTTGTTGACAGGCGAGAGCTATTGGTTTTTTTTTTTGTTTTTTTTTTGCAGCTATTTATGGCTCTCGCCATATTTATTGAAATTATCTACCAATTAACGTGCTTATTTGACCCCCCCCCCTTCCCCTTTTGCACCCCCATCTCAAATTCCTCAAACCAATTTAAAATTGAAAAGGTTTGTCTTAAATCCTGTTTTCAGACAGAAGCTGAATTTGAGCTAATTAATTGACTGTGTCTGACGACCCAATCTCCCAATGACGCAGATTTAATCACCATTCTGTTGCTTAGGTCCAGGATCTGGTCAGATATTCGACTTGGCAGGGATTTTTTAAAAACTTTGTATACATCATCTCAATGCAGGGCTTCTCAACCAGGGATACCCGCACCCCTTGAGGATGCAGCAGTTAATGTCAGGGGTGCTGGAAGATCCAGAAAATCAGGCTCATTTGCTGTTTGCACTTTTTTTTCATAGACGGGGAGGAGGGGGGGGGGGCTAGTGGGAAATACGTTTTTGAAATTGAGATGGGGTAGGAAACATTTGAAATTAAGAGGGGATCAAATATGTAAATGGGTCAAATATGTAAATGGGTCAAATATGTAAATGAGGAAGATTCAGAAAATCAGGCTCATTTGCGGTTTGCACTTTTTTTTCATAGACGGGGGGGAGGGGGGGGGGGCTAGTGGGAAATACGTTTTTGAAATTGAGATGGGGTAGGAAACATTTGAAATTAAGAGGGGATCAAATATGTAAATGGGTCAAATATGTAAATGGGTCAAATATGTAAATGGATCAAAGATGAAAATGGATCAAATATGTAATGTTCATATCCATTTTTAACGTTTTTTAAATTTAAAAAAATATCCATTGAATGTACTATTTATCAATTTGGAGCAGAGGAGGAACTTATCATTGATGCTAATTTGTCTTTAGTTCAACATAAAAAAACAACAACTCCCCTACAACTTCACCATCACATTAAAAAAAATAAAAGTTTTCGTACCAGAGACAGAAAAGCTTGACTCTGTTGATGGTTCAACTACCGTTGGGGGATGGATTTTACTACTATAGGATGCATGGTAAAGCATAGAATTTATTGTACTCACTAAAGCATTCACGCTACACCTATATGATGTATGGTACAACTATATGATATATGATTCAATGATGGGACTAAATATTTATTGAATTTGATTATAGACCAAAAATCGTCCACACATTTCTACATATTAGGCTTGCCATCAACTTTGTTACAAGATTTTTCTTTATAGATAACATGCACATTATTGTCTTTATGTCATCTCAAGTCAATGCATTGTAATGGCCTGTCTATCTGTACGTATGACATTGTTCATGCTAGGGACCTGTCTATCTGTACGTACGATATTGTTCATTCTAGGGACATGTCCATCTGTAGATAACATATTGTTCGCATATGTACGCTTTTTGCACCTTTAAGACGAAAATCCTATTTCAAGCTAAACATATGAATTTATTTGTTTTGTATGAAAAGTGAGAGTATTTACTGAATTTGACCTCACGTATGGCTATCTCTGATTGGTTACTTGTCCTACATTAATTATCTGAGACAAGGTGATGGTTACGATGAAAAGAACAACATAACAAACGACACTAAAATGGTTACGATGGAAAGGACAACATAACAAACGACACTAAAATGGTTACGATGAAAAGAACAACATAACAAACGACACTAACATGGTTACGATGAAAAGGACAACATAACAAACGACACTAAAATGGTTACGATGAAAAGAACAACATAACAAATGGCAATAACACTATCATGGAAATAGAACATGTCACGTGTTCAGCCTCATTCAGCAATCAATTATTTTTTTCAAAAGTGATTTCCCATTAACATTTTCTTTGACGTCTGCTCAATTTGATGACATCACCGAGACCTTAAATAGTCTAACGATTTCTTTTAGTCGCCTTAAAGGTAAACTTTTAGTCGCCTTAAAGGTAAACCTATAGTTGCTTTGTGTTACAGTTCGATAAAAATGGTTAAAACTAAAATATTATGTTACTTTTTTAAAATAAGATTTTGAGAAGAAAAAAAGATGGGGGGGGGGGGGGTAAATTAAATGTTAAATCAAATTTTCGATTAGGTAGACAGGGGGGGGGGGGTAAATTAAATGTTAAATCAAATTTTCGATTCGGTAGACAGGTCGTCTGTAAGGTGTTGCCGTATCGGACATATCGTAAGTCTGTTAATATATGTTCCTCAGACTATGAACGTTATATGAACAGACTTATATCGAAAGTTTTATGGTATATTATTTCATGAATGGTAATAAAGCATTTCATAGGTTGTACAAAAGCCAAAGCATTCCAAATGGCAAGTGAAAAGGCGCGAATCAATAGAGTCATTTTAAGGACTTTTTTTTTTTTTTTTATTCTTTAAAATCTAAACACATCCATTATTTTTTGGGACGAAGGGCAACAAACACCTTATACTAAGACTTATTTAGATTGCTCACGGGATGAGTGTGCTCAAGTCTACTGATAAATAAATACTTTTAAAAATCATAAAGTGATACAGGCTAGTGTTATAATTTTAATGTAATTTTAGCATAAGTCAGAGCTCTCAAAAATTGTGTGGTGGGGTATAGATGGACCGAAGGCGGTGATTCTATTTAGACGCCACAGAACCCAAAAGATGACCTTGACCTAATGTTGGTGTTGGACTCCATTGCTGATCTGATAAACTAAAGAATGGTGCCCCACAGTTGAATACTTCTAAATCTTAGATTTTTAAAAACATTTTTAAATATCAAGTTCACATAAACTTGAGTAAGTATTTTGAATCCGGTCTAAATGTACCAGATCCGACACTCCTGGTAGGACCATAACAAGAATGTTTAACATAATGCAGCTGTCAGCAGCCATCATTGTGTTCCATACCACATCCGGTAATTTGTTGCTTTGAAAGGAATCTGAGCTGGTCACGATGTAAGACTTAATTCTGTGATGATTCATATCTAACCTTATAACTGACAATGTTTAATGTACAGTGGGCGCAGGGGTGATCAAATCATTTTCCAGTTTGACTCATTCAAATATCACTCAAAACATCTAACAAAACTTAATAAAAAGACTAACAAAAATCTTTTTTATCAGCTTAGTTCATAACCAGCGACTTGGCCATGATACAGTGTTACATAATTATATAAAATATATGCACTGATACAGGGTTATATATTGACTATAAGCCCGATAAAGAGTTGACATTTTATCTTGCAACTGATACAGGATAATTCAACAAAATGCAAATATTTAAGTAAGTTGCCAAAGTGTATGGACAGCGACTGGTGTTTGACACTTGGCACCATGTCGTGCACCACCGTGTTTGACGCTGCATCCAAGAGTCTATGCCAGGGTTCTATGCCAGGGTTCTATGTCATGTTCTAAGTCAGGGTTCTATTGCCAGGGTTCTATGCCAGGGTTCTATGTTAGGGTTCTATGCCAGGGGACTATGCCAGGGTTTTATGCCAGGGGTCTATGCCAGGGTTTTATGCCAGGGTTCTATACCAGGGTTCTATGCCAGGGTTCTATGCCAGGGTTCTATGCCAGATAGGGTTCTATGCCAGGGTTCTATGCCAGGGTTCTATGCCAGGGTTCTATGCCAGGGTTCTATGCCAGGGTTCTATGCCAGGGTTCTATGCCAGGTAGGGTTCTATGCCAGGGTTCTATGCCAGGGTTCTATGCCAGGTAGGGTTCTATGTCAGGGTTCTATCCCAGGGATCTATGCCAGGTAGAGTTCTATGTCAGGGTTCTATGTCAGGGTTCTATGCCAGGTAGGGGTCTATGCCAGGGTTCTATGTCAGGGTTCTATGCCAGGGTTCTATGCCAGGTAGGGTTCTATGTCAGGGTTCTATGCCAGGGTTCTATGCCATGCGTCAGTACCGGCCTAAGATATAAACATTAGAAAGCGTCATTTTTCAAGGAGTGGCAAATTCCATAGATGTTTTTGTGGAGAATTTATGTGTGTGTGTCTGCGTGTGTGCGCGTGCGTGGATTCATCATTTAAACTGTTACATTTTATTTCTAGCAGGTTCAATAAAGAAGGGAAACGATAAGATACTCTGAACAATTTAAATACATTTGCCATCACTGTTAGAGAGTTGTGTTTCTTTCGGGAGTCCACTTTTTGTCCGGTGAACGAAGAAAGAATAAGTTAATTCGTGTTCAGTCAGGCATCTACGGGCCGCACTATTCGACGTTGAGGGCCGCGGGTGGGCCACCCCTGTAATAAGCTATAATATGATAATTATTGTATTATTATTTACAAAAAATCAAATTAAACAAGAAAATCTTAATTACTGTCAATTTAAAAAAAAAATGATATGTGCGGTAGTTCGTTTGTGTAGGCTGCTAACGCAAGTGACATGGTCACATGACTATATATTACGTCATTCGTTTCCACGCTACGTCTCCTAGCAACAAAAAGACGCAATACTTCCTTCTCTCCTGTGACAGTTCATTAATAATGTTTGCAGACTTTAAAAAAAATTTAAGGATAGAACAATCTCGGAGAGGTGAAAAATTAAGACAATTGACCAGTGGCGTAGCTAGGGGGTGCGGACCCTACCTGGTGAAGCCATCTCGGGGGGTGACACAATCTCAGGGGGGGGTTGTTTGACACTGAGGCGTAGCGAGAG